ATGAATAACTCGAGTCCTTCGGGACAATACATTGACGATGAGATTCCCGATTACAGCACTCTATTCGGTAATTACTTGTCATTTACGGGATTACTTAATAACGAGCGCGCGATAGACATCGAGGACATTAAATTTGATGATATATTCGACGATAAACTGGATATAAACAAAGACCAGAGTCCGGCACAAGACTTAGGCATTTATCCAGAAAAATGTGAAGTGTTTGGCGCCGGAGTCTATTACGGACAGGTGGACTCTAAAAATCATTTTGTCGTAATTATAAATTATTATTATTATTGAATATACTTTTAAATTATAGAAAATGTTAACTAAATTTTTTATAGGTGTCAACAAAAGACAGCGGAAAGAGTTATCTATCTGTTGGCGTCCAAAGTGTTGAATCGGATGACGTGATAGAAGTGTCGTTCGCACGGATCGGTCCCAACAGATATGAAGTGCAATACCAGGTGTCGAGACCCGGATATTATGTTATATTCGTTAAATGGGGTGATTATAATGTGGCCGACAGTCCATTCATCTGCAAAGTCACGTATTAGTTGACATTGAAATCTATTTAATTACTGGCATTCGTTTAATAATCAAATTTCTTATCCATTATTTTTGATACTTTACGACAAATAATTGAATAATGAAATGCGATAACAATATATACTGTAAATTCAATTTAAATGACAATAATTTGAATTCTCGCTCAAATTTAGTAAATCATTATTTGAAATATTTCACAAATCGGTTAAAGTGTTAGCATTTTCTTACAAATGATCTTAAATACCGGAAAACAACTGCAATTGAAATACAAATTGAGAGATAACTGTAAATTAATTTGTGGATCAAATTATCATCAAATGGTTGAGTGGATCGAAGCGCCCAAATGTGTTCACTCACTCACTGCGGGACTAATGTTGTCGTTGTTGTTGGGTTTGGCCATTCAGGCCAACATTGGCTTCGCGTCGTCGACCTGTGATAGGACTGGACAGCATTTAGAGACGGGAAACACGAAATGCGAGTACAATAACCACAGGGTTTGGGCGCTTTCCATCTTCTATTCGGGTGCTTTCGTGTTCCTCATTGGAGTGCTCGCCAACTGTCAGTCCAGTGGCTATATTATGGTCATTCATATGGTAGCTCTGGTCGGTTGGCTGGGAGTGATCGGCGGTTTAGCAGTTTATAGGATGTCTTCGGGTATGCATTTCATGAAATGTCATTTACAAAAATATCGACATTTAATTTTGATTTCCATTTGTAGAGAGCATTGCAATGAACGCCGGCTTCACTTCGATTACCGAAGAAGTGATTCGTGACAAATGGGGTCTTTGGGCAGAGATTACTCGCTGGGTTCTGGCCATCTGTGGCATCTCATCCTTCGTATGTGGTGTTGTGCTCACCATTTACTTCTTCTATTATCATTCACTTTCATAGTTTGCTTTCCTATCAAATTAATCTAAATTTTAAAAGTTAAATTCATTTATTTAGTTTTTTGTTACTGTATTTCAGTTTTTAATACCATTAACTTATTGTCTCAAAATTAATTTAGTAGAAAATGAATGCTTAATATCGTTTAGAAACAAAAATATTTATTTTATTATTTATCGCTTTAATATTTAATTGTATTTGTAATTTATGCTAAATTTAATTAAAAGTCATTTTTAACACAACTATAAAATAAAAATTAATTCATGATTGAAATGAATAGACTGTTGAGAACTGATTACCCATTCTTTTATCGGTTTCTGAAACCAAAATATTGATCCGAAAGAAAGCGTTTGCGTATTGAATGCAATGACAAAATATTGATATATTGTTAAAATTAATTGTTATATTCATATGTGTTTAGCATTTATATAATAGATATATATCTAATAATTGCTTATTAAATCAGTGTCTTTGTAGTGAATTAATTCAATTGAATTAAGCGTTTGTTTAGTTAATGCAATGAATTCAATGAATTTATTAACAATTAACTAAAATCCTAAATGAAACAAATTTATTTTGGGTCAGAATTTTTAAATGTATTCAAACTATTTATGTCTAGAGGTTTGTATTAATTAGAAATTAATTGATTAATTCATTATATTTGATAAAATTATCATTTCATTATAAATTGTGGTGAAATATAATGCATATTTATCATGAGTGAATTTATATGATTGTAGGCTATATTGTTGGTATTTCTAACACATGTCGGTTGGTATGACCACAACAGACACATACTCTGGCAATGTTCAAGAGATAAATCACGAATCGTTAAGAATATTATTCAAAAAGTAAATCATTAATTAAATACAATTTGTGAACAATTACTAAATCCGCGTTTATTTGTGCAGAAATTTATTCCCATATTAGAGAGATATAGAGTACCGATTCCTATGGACTGTCCATTCCATCCGCAGCGGGACTTCTTGTGGTGGCCCGACGTGGAGGACGAGTACGAGTTGGACGATGAGCTGAGTTTCCAGTGGACGTGTCCTTTCTGTGGCTCCACATTCCTCTGCGCCGAACGACTGGCCATTCATTGGGACGAAAAACATCGAAATGACTTCAATCACGTATGCATTGGAGATAATTATTTAATTAATTATTAAAAACCTTATGAACCGTACGATAGCCCGAAGACTCGGTTTGTTTGGCCGACTTTTGCGATATTATGAGATGTGATGTAATTATTGCAAACAAACGGAAACGAAGGAATCGGTTGAGATCTCTGGCCTTATCTAAAAATAAAACAGAACTTAATATTCAGACTAATTGTGATCCGAAACACATGAAACACTTAGAGACCAAATGCGAGACAATTGTCCGCCAATGCACTCAAGGCTTGATCTCAAATATTTCATCGAAAGACTATCGCGATATTGAATATGAATTGATTGCAAGCGTTTGCTCTTATCTAACGTGTGATCGATATCTCGATGACTATTCATTTGAAGTATTATTCCTTATAATTAATTAATTATTAATAATTAATGTGAAATCTAAATACATTAATATATTAGAACCAAACCGTATCGTTAAGTCTATGTATGGCTATTGGTATTGTAATGATTGGAGGTTTCTGTTTATGTTATTATATCGTTTGGATGCTATTTGAGTGAGTATTTCATTATATGTGATAAATTTCACATTTATTATTGTAATCTTATTATAAACTTAACTATAAAATCATTCATCGACTTTTTATTACCACTAGTGATTTTGTGCAATGTTTTGGCTATTTTTCTATCCATAACCTTATTATGGGAGAGAGAAAGTGTGTGTGTATTGTGTGTGTGTGCGTGAAGTAAATCCTCAACTTAATAGCCATTGCATTCAATTTAAAAGAAATAGTTATAGAAATAGTTAATGAATTATATAAAACTTGTATGAAAAGCATATTTGTATTGTTATTCCCAACAAACAGTTCCCAAAACACTTCACCATCCGATTAATACAAATGACAAATTATCTCAATTTGTATTTTTCTCATTCATTTTCCAAAAGTCTCGTCAACTGATTGCTAAGTCTATAGCGTTGTTGCAAATTAAAGTCAGGTATAGGACTATAGTTTAGCGATTATTATGTAATTTTAGTGCCTTGAATAGCATGAGAGCACCCGTAGACCTCCGCAACCATTATTACCTTAGATTCAATGCATTGTCCGGAAAAGTAATCGTGTTTTTTTGGTAGAAAGTAGACTATATTTATAATTCATTGATTTAATTATTTTGTTATCTTTTATTAACTTTATTAACGTTACTATTCAAATGAATTCATGAAATTAATTCATTTTTGCGACAAATTTTTATTAGTTGTAAGAAAATAGCATGAAATGAATAGTTAGAGTCATAATTATATATATTGTATATTCCCTGAGTTAATCAATTTTACATATGTTTTTTGGTATAATTTCTCATATCATTAATAATATGTTGATTTAAAATTATTTTCGGGGTTAAATATATTCATATTATTTGTACATTAAGTTATTTGTATGTTTTGTTTATTCAATATATTGATATATGGTTAATGTTTATATAAAATTTTGATGCATTTTTCATGAAGTTATAACATTTAGGGTTTAATTGATTGCTTTAAAAATGCTTTACAATTAATATTTTGCTAATTTGTGTCACAAAAAATAATCATAAAGTTCTGGCTATAAATCGAGGGCTGAATTAATGTCACGCGAATCGGTAGAGGAGGACAGCCGTAGTGTTTACCATAGGATAGAAGAGTTAAAATTAAAACAAAGTATTTCCGAAAGTGAGAGCATTAGCGGTGAAGATCACCACTCGAGTGGCAATCGTCCAAAAATAATGATCACTTCTCCGTCTGCTCATCGGCTCATAAGATCGCAAGCCATTCATTACTACCATCCGTACCATCCGAACCATCCAAACCATC